TTTATGTTCCTATATATTTATTTGAGCAGAAAATAAGTTATTTATCTAACACTTTTTTGTTTTATTTCATAAACAAATACAAGCAAAAGCCATTAAAAATATAATGCACCCGATATTCTATCTTTCCCAAAATTATATGATCTGAAGATCTAAAATATAAATCTTCGAAGAAATTAATTTTTTTCTATGTACATTATTGCATCCCAAATTTTACCTCGAGTTTCTCATTCGCATTTATATATAGAATTTATTCTTCATTTGTATCTGGATATTTTTTACGCGCATTATCATTTATTTTTATTTTTATTTTTTATCCATATATATCTTCTTTTTTTTTTGCCTTTAGATAAATAATAATTTGATTTTTGTTTGTTTTATTTTATTATCTTTTAATCATATATATATGCATGTGTGTGTGTTTTTTAATTTATTTTTAATTGAGATTTTAGTTAAAAAATGTGTATATAAAAAATATTAGTCTCTTTTATTTATTTTATTCACTTTTAATTAATATTTAGTTTTAGTTTTAAAATTATTATAAAAAAAAAGAATTTCTTACCCCACCCCATATGAAAAAGGGACACCCTATAAAATTTCAAAATTGTCCTTCGGAAAATCAGAAATATATTTTCGATTTGCACCATATTTTACACAAAATTGGCCAAATGTGATTTCACCCTTCAAAATGCAAAAAACAGTATCGGGGATATACTTCCGGTTCTATACTAGAATTCTGTTTCTGGTTCTATTAGCGGGAAGACTGAATTTTGTTGCAACCTTGACATTTTATATATAACCGAAAGTATAATTCTGGTTTTATGGACGATGCAGGTTACTTAAAACAACAACCAATATGGTCATGTTTGATCACCACCGTTTCTTCTTTCTTTCTTTAAAACCTCTCAAAAATCCTCATCATTCTCAATCCATTTTCCACTCCAAATTATCACTTTTGTGGTTCATCATATCAGAAAGAGCTCAAGGAAGTAGAATTTCAGGTAAAGTTTATTCATTTCAATCATCATTCCCTATATTAATCTACATTAATCTGTTGTTTTCTATAGAAAAAGGTTATGTACAAACCAGATGTATACTTCTGGTAGTTAGTTGAAAAGAACCGAAAATTAACTTCCGGTTTCTGTCTGTGTTTATTTGGACAACAATCTGTCAATGTGACATGTTAATAAGTTTTGTGTTTTATCTAACATTAGGTATGGTGCACTCCGATAATATTCTCATATTTGATGTGTCTCAAGTTGTTTCGCCTCTCATAATTTCTTCTCTCATAATTAAGGTGGTAGATGTTTGTGAGCATTTTGAAAATATAGAAGAATTTGAATTACGTGAAGACATGTTGTAGTGGATTTGTATAGAGGCTACTAAACTAGGATTTGGTGTTGTGATTGGAAGTTTTGATAATGGTACGGATAGAAGAAATACATTTGTGATTTTGACATGTGAAAGAAGTTGGAAATACATACGTCGTATCCAAAATTTGAAACACGATGACACCGGTTCAAGAATATGTGAATGTCCATTTAGGTTGTGTGGTTATCTTATGGCAAATAAGAAATAGAAATTTAATGTGCTATGCGGTTTACACAATCGTGATTTAACTCAAAAGTTAGTTGGTCATCCAATTGCATATCGGCTCCTTCCAGATGAGAAGACATGTGTTTCCGATATGACTTTGAATTTGGTACCACCAAAAAACATACTTGCAACCTTGAACTGAAAAAGACCCGAGAACACATCAAATATCAAACAAGTTTACAATAAGCACCATCAAACCAAAATAGCGCTTAGGAAGGATCGAACCGAGATGCAACACCTCTTAAAACTTCTAGATAAAAATAATTATGTTTGTAGGCACTGAAGAGGTGATAATGGTGTAACAGTAAGAGATATTTATTGGACTCATCCTGATTCCATTAAATTGTTCAATATGTTTCCCACCGTGCTCATAATTGATTCAATGTATAAGACCAACAAGTACAAACTTCCATTGTTGGAAATTGTTGGTGTTACGTCGACTGAGAAGACGTATTCTGTTGGTTTTGCATTTCTAGAGTGCGAAAAAAGGACAACTTTGCATGGGCTTTAGAGGTTTGTAGGTCAATGTTGAAGGATTAAGAAGATATACTGAGAGTCATTGTTACCGACCGAGATACAACATTAACGAATTTGATTGCAATTGTATTTCCCATTTCTTACGCATTACTTTGTAGGTACCATATTACTAACAATGTGAGAAGTCGGATTAAACCTGCGGTGGGGATAAAACAGGTTGCAGGTGAAGATGGAAAATTGGTCAAGGCGGGCGTCATTGTGGAGAAAATTATGGATGCATGGAATGTTATAATAAATGCATCTACAAAAAATCTATACACTTATGCTGTTTTACAGTTCAAGAATGTTTGCGAGAAATATCTCGATCTATTGAAATATGTTGAAAGCACAATTCTTGATCATGTTAATGAGAAGGTTGTTTGTGCCTGGACCGATCCGGTTATGCACCTCGGTAATACAACAACAAATCGAGTTGAGTCTGCACATGCATGTCTGAAGAATTGGCTGGGAAATAGCAAGGGTGATTTGATTACGAGATATATACAACATTTGGTCGTAGTATCACGGTGTTGGAACACAGGTTCAAAGACAACATGCTATATTTTTAGTTGGTTGGTAACATATCTCGAGCAGCTCTGAATTATATTTTCTACGAGGCCAAACAAGCTTCTAATGTAGGTTATGATAGCTCAAAGTGTGATTGCACAATTGTGAAAACATATGGTCTCCCTTGTGCTTGTGTCATATATAAGAATATGAGATTTGATAGCCCGACACGTATAGACGAGGTCTCCGGTCATTGGATGAGACTATGTTTTGACGATGATGGTAAAATGAAAACCAATAAATCAAATATCTCCATCTTGACCGAATGGGAAGTGATACAAGAAAGATTTTTGAAAGGAAATGACGCCACCAAACTCCACATCAAAAAACAATTGAGGAAGATTTCGTTCCCGAAGACCACAAACTTTAAACCACCATTCTAACTGGTAAAAATTAAAGGGGCACCTATGAAGGTGAAACCGACACCGGGCGACAGTTCAACTACGAGGGGTCCTTCATATTTTGAACACGTTGACAAAGTTTTTCCCGATTCACCTACACCAAAATCTCAGAAAAGCTCTTTCAAAGGATCCCGTATTAGCAAACCACCCCCTACACCGACTCCACCCAAAATACTATTCATTGATCACATGTCAGTTTTTATGCATAAGTACATTGAATGGGTCGTCAATGTTGGGGGTGACAGTAACTGTGGTTTTCGAGTTGTTTCGGGTTTGCTCGGCAGAGGGGAAGATTATTACAATATTTTCCGAGATACCCTGATTAGAGAGTTGACGGGCAATAGAGAATTATACACACGTGCGCTAGGGAGTAAAGAGAAGGTTGAGGAAATATATCACGCACTTGAACCTCCAAAGGTTGGAGTTGCACCAGAGGATAAATGGGTGTGCTTCTCTGAAATGGGTCATCTCATAGGAAGTGCATATGAAAGGGTGTGTATTAATCTTATAAGATACGATTTCTCGGAGACTTCTTTCCCTATGTTCACTGCTCCAACGCCAAATCCCAATGATTTTATCATATGTGTTAGATGAGTTTTAAATTCACGGTATTTTGTTCAAGTGTATTTGAAACCGGGATGCCCTATACCACCCACATCACTGGAGTGGGCGCTTCATTTCACAAACCTATCTGAGATCTGGACGGATCAATTTATTGAAAGGATGCAAGAATATAACAAGTTGAACCAAATTGAAATAGAAAAAAAAAGGAAAAAGTCAAAAGGGATGCCACCGTGGATTTATCCGGCGTCACTTTTTTCGGCTCATTCAAGTAGTTAGGTATCATTTTATTGTTAACGTCATTTTGTTCATGTATTATGATGTGGAAATATAGTCATTTTTGTAGTTTGACCAAAAATACAATATTTGAATACATGAGACTTTTTTATTAGAGTTGTTGTTTTTGTTCTGTTTTTGGTTTTTTACTTCCAGGGCCTTAACCGAAAATATACTTTCGGTTCCATTTAATAAAAAACCAGAAATTAATTGCCGATTTCATCACAAACACAGAGATAAGATTTGTATGGTTCATATTTACCTCCAACTACTATAAAAAACCTCACTTCTTATATTTTTTCATACCACAACACCAAAAACCAGAAACATACATGAACTTGAACATCAAATGATATGTTAGAGTTGTCCACTTTACCGGCGCTATACCATCTCGTGAATGTAAGTTCACGGTGTACACCCCTATTGAAGATGTGCGTGAAATATTGAAAGAACTTGTACCTTTTGGCAACAATCGAAAAGTTGCGAAGATCGAGTACCGCTCGCTATCTGTTGACAAAGATGAGAAGCTTGTGTTCATCAACTGTGAGCTGAAGAACGACGATGATCTACGAGCTATGTGGAATACTTTTGACAGTTTTAAGAAGAAAGTTCCAATCGAACTAGATGCGACTATAACAAGATCGGTCGATGATATTATCATGATGTTGTAACATCCACCTGGATGTTAATTTGTAATGTTTGATTTATGTTTAGCTCCTAAATGTATTTGTTATGTTTATGTTATGAGTTGTATTGTGAGATTATGACGCTATTCAATAATGTTTTCTGGTTTCTATAAAGAATAAAACCGGAAATACACCTCAGGTTTCAAACTCGACTTATATTTCCGATTTCTATATATATTTTATTAGATCTAAATACGCACCAGAAGTATACTTCCGATTTTAATAAATATTTATGAAATTTCACATGGTACGTAAGAAAGTTATGGATAAAAAATATTATAAAAAAATCATAATTCATTTATTATATTTAGTTTTTTTTTAATTATCACAAAATATTTAACATTAAATGTCTCTTTTGTTGTTATAAGAAAGAGGATCACGATAAATAGAAGGAGGCAGCCTTGAAACAAAACCAAAAACGCAGCTTATCCATGAAATCAGAGAATTCCCAATCTCCTTGATCCTCTCTTCTACCTCACAATCCTCCATCGAGCTTCATCTTCTCTCAACCAAGCGCTCATACTCACTATCTCCTCTCTCCGCCGGAAACACACAAATACTCCCTCCTTCCACCATTGACCCACACGCAAATAACCCCTCTGTTCTCTTCCAACAGCCAAACACGAATTCATCTTCCATCCGGCACATCCCACCATCACCCACTGTTTCCGCGACTGCTAACACCAATATCACCTCACTTGCTGACGCACGACCCAATTCCTCACCTTCCGCTTCAGATTTCCATCACCGTTCAGCTTCCGTAACGCGTCGACAACATCATCAGCTTCATCATCAATTCGACACAACAACATTATCCATTCGGTTCTCTCTGTGTCAATAAGTTTCGATTCTATTTCGATTGCGTTAGTTGAGTAAAACTGCAATGCTGAATCTTGTGATTAATTCTGTGAATACAGTGATATTGTGTTAGTGTGACGTTTTGAGTTATAACTACGACAAATTTGATTGTCTGTTTTGACTTCCTTGGTGTTTAATCTCGAATGATGAAAGCTGATTATAGTATTACTACTTTTGTGTTAAAACTGGTTAATAGTTTGATGACAGTGAGTTTGTTCTTTTGTTTGTTTCATTTGAGTGGAATTGGAATAATGACAATACTTGCGTGGGTTAATTTTGCTTATTTCAAGCTTAAGAAAATGAGTGGAATGTGTCCCTTGTTTATAGTTAGCATGATGGAAATAAAAAGTGAGAGAAATGATCAAGTATAAGGGAAATTCATGTGCACCTGCATCATGAACAAAGTCTGACTTGCAAATTGTCAAAACTTAACTATTCCTTGTGTTTTAATGTGCTAAACCTTTCAGGCAACTTAGTTAATCATGTTTAAACATCAAACGCACGACAAATTTGTATTTAGAGGCCACACTAATCAAAATCAAATCTGACTTTGGTGAGAAACTTCAGTTCAAAGATACCATCTTTGAATTCATGGTGCATAGAATTTAATAGGCTTTATGAGATGATTCTTGAAGCTTTTGAAAGATCACATCACCATCTTCACAACGTGCCAAGAAAGACTCTATTTGGTGATCTGAGCTGAAAGTTATGATCAATTGAAATCAAGAAAAACACATGGATCTTTGTACTTGAAAATATTTCCAAGTTTTGATCTTCAAAATGACCTATAATGTCCTTCAAAGTTACACGACCTTCCACTCAAAATTTGATCTTGATCTTTGAAGATGAAATGAAGTAGAATCTTCAAATTGAATTGTGGATTTGAGATCACTTAAAAATCATAAAATTGAAAGAGTTATGGTCTTTAGAAGATGATGAACAAATTTGGAGAAATTCACAAATGACCTATAATCTTTTCAATTCTTAAACAAACTTCCAAGCATTTTTAAGCCTAGCACCTTGAAACAAAGTTGTAGTAGACATCCCAAAGATTATTGTAAAAAAAGAATGAGCTCAAGAAGATAAAAGATGATCAAGTTATGATCATTTGAAGTCAAACCCTAAGATTCAAAGGCTTTTTAAAGAGACTTGTAATCTCCTTCAACCATTAGTGATATTCCATTCAAAATTAGCCTTAGATCCTCGAAGAGAGGTTATTAAGGACTCTTCAAAGAGAATCATGACTTTGGAATCAACCTAAAATCTCAAAAAAATGAGCAAGATATGGTCTTTGGAAATCAATCTAACCTTACTCAGAGAGTGCCAAAATGACTTGTAATCCCTTTCAACGTTTGATGACTTGTAATGCACAAATGGATATGTTGTTATAACATAGTTTGGTTCTACATCCTTGTAAGATTTTTGATGATAACAAACACATGACATATATAAAGAACAAATATCCCATCTAATAACATATTTGAATATGTAGAGAAATTCTGATGTAAGAAGCGTAGAAGATGAGTGAGTTACATTTTTGAAGCTCTCTTTAGACACAACATACTTAGAAGCAAATCCGTGTAACACACTAAAATCAAGAATTTCTAATGTTACAACTTCTGAATGCACCAATGCTGCGAGCAAAACTCTGATATTCTAATAAGTAAAGATTCTGGAAGAACAAAAGAAGTCTAAACGATAATATTCTTCTTCTGATATGATCTCAAGAAAACAATGTTCTGATGCGTTAAAACTGATTCATTACAAATAAAAAAGTAACGACCGAACCAATACAAGATCTATATTTTTGGAAAGTGCATTGACAACACTTTATCAACCTTCTAAAAGCATCTTCTCATGTCTCTCATACATCGCCTATATAAAGAAGACTTACAGAAGAAATCATACAACATTACTGCGCACTGAAAAAGAAAAATATTATTACCAAGTTTTATCTTGTACTTTTCAATTGTGTATACATCACTGTTATGATATAGTTTTGTTTAGAAAATATCTTTGTTACACTCTTAATTTATTTATCTTGTAATACCTTGAGAAAACTGAATTGTGGTTTAAAATCAAGAAGACATTGACAATAGTCATTGTATTTGTGTAATCATGTTTTGATTAGTGGATTTAGATATCATTTGAGAGAGGCAAAATCACCTTGGCGGGTGGACTTTAAGTTCAAACGAACCAGGATAACCAATGTGTCTACTATTTTATTTTTGAAAACTCAAATTCAAACCCCCCTTTCTTATGTTTTTTCATTCTTCAATTGGTACCAGAGTGCCTGGTTCTGGGTGCAAACACTTAACCATGTCAGAAAAAAGATCCTAGCAAGAAAAACACTATGGTGGGACCAAGTCAGATCATCAGCAATGATAATCATGATGAGAAAGACATAATAAACAACAAACCTCCAATCTTTGATGGCGAGAACTTCGATTACTGGAAAGACAGAATCGAAAGTTTCTTTCTATCTCATGACGCTGATCTCTGGGATATGGTGAGTGATAGATACAATCATCCAGTTGATTAAAACCATCATAAGATCGACATAAAAAGAATGACATATCAACAAAAGAAAGAATTCAGAAATCATCACAAAGCCAGAACAATTCACTATTGCACTGTCAACTGCTGAAGCTGAATATATAGCTGCAGCTGGATGCAGTACACAGAAGCTATAGATGAAGAGTCAACTTGAAGACTTTAACATATTTGAGAGTAACATTCCTATCCTCTACGATAATACTTTTTCCATTTGTCTTTCAAAAAATCCTATTTTATATTCTAGGGCTAAACATATAGAAATTAAACATCATTTTATTAGGGACTATATTCAGAAGGGAATTCTTTCTTTAAAATTTATAGACACAAATCATCAATGGGCTAACGTCTTTACTAAACCCCTTTATGAAGATAGATTTAATTTCATTTTGAGTCGTCTCAGTATGGAATTATGCCCAAAATGAAAATCTAGTTTCTGTATATTTAACCCTTAGAACTTTATGCTTTAAATTTTTTTTGTGTGAACATATGAATAATAGTTCTTCAGAAGTGAGAAGGAAAGTTGTATCAGGAACTATCCAGAAGATCTGAATATTCTCCAAAAATATTTCACATCTAAGATAGAAGCAAGTAGTTCACAATATCAATATATGTCAACTCTAAGCGCAAGGTCACCCTATAAGGCTGAACACATGTTCAAAATTTGAAGGAACTCAAACGGTTGAGTTGATGCATTGAGGTGCGAGTCAAATAGGTAACTGTTCCATATCTTCATGCTATCCCTCTTTTCAGGAATCATTAAATACACGTAATCATTATTTTTTACTCTTTTAAATTAAAATCAAAACTGTTATTCCGTTGGCTATTTAAACTTCACTCTTTCATAAACACTATCACATATTCACTCTCACTCACTTTTCTCTCTTCATTTGTTCATCTTTCAAAACCCTAAAAGAGTCTGTGAACAAATGCCTCCCTCTCAATAAATTTCTCAAGTTTCTCAAATCATTTATGGTTCTTCCTTCTCAAATAAATAAAGGTACGTCGAACCATCAAGAACTCTTCTCACACCTATTGATTCTCTGGAAGTTCTATGTGAACTTATTGTTGATTTCATAAGCATGAAACAAAATGGGTATGACTTAACCCCTGATGTTGAGTTCCAAGGATGGGGGAAATACTTTGAATATCTCATAGGTCCAGTTTCCCCAAAATTACTGAAAGAATTTTGGATCCATGCCACAACTTTAAATCATCAGGTAATGTCTTACATTATGGGAAAGAAAATCATCATCACTGAAGATCTCATTGGGAAGCTTATAGGTCACGACGACAGCGGTATACGATGCAATGATATGACAGAAAAAGATTCTAAAATAACCATTGTCTCAAAAGAAAATTTCTCCTCTGGACAACCATCTAACAAAATCAAAGATCTGAAGGATATTTCAGAATTTGGTCCAAAATAATTCTGGGGTGCGTCAATCACAGAAAACCAATCAACTCTCCAGACTACATCGACATTGATCAACAGTACCTTCTGTACTTCATCGCCACCAAAGAAAAAGTTCATATTCCACACACTCTGTTCAACCATCTAAAGACTAGTGTCAAAGAAACAAGAGAAGAAGAAAGAATAAAGAGAGATTGGATTCCTCTGGGAAGACTCATTTCAATTATTCTGATAGAAAACAGACTAATAGAACATTTGACTGAGGCTCAACAAGCAAATGTTCTAGAAGCTTGTGTTGGAAAACCTCTAAACGCCAAAAATACAAAGAAGATGAAGATTATTGAAACCATTAAGAATGATCCAACAATCACCACCAAGGAAGCCATCACCACCTGAAGAGTGCCTCTGAAGGATTTTCCTCTCTTCACTCAAGCAGACTCATCTTCAGAAATTATTCTCAGATACATGGAAGCCTTCAAGAGTGATGGTACGATTCTAGATGTGAACACTCTTGATCTAAGGCAACAACCTCTGGAAGTTTCTCCCAGAAAATCAAGAAAAAGGAAAGCTGCTGGAGAAGGAACTTCTCAAAAAACCCAAAGTTTCCAAAAAGAAAGGTAACTCGTCTCTTATTTATGTTATTAAATCAGTATTTTATAAACATCTAAAACCTCCTCATCTCCAAAACCCACTAAAGATCCATCTCCTCAAACCCTTGATGATTTTGACCTAGAAATTGACACTTCAATACCTACAAATAATCCTCTGATTAATCCACCTTCTACCCATTTTGATCAGACTCGGCCAGAACTTGCATAAGTTCTCTCTGATATTGATCAATTTGATCCACTGTTTAAAGCCCCCCACATTGAAAATCCAAATTTTGACTCTGATACCACGACATCCATCCCAGGCATCATTTGCCCTCTCATGATCTCTCAACCACCAATAATCCCCACAACTTCATCACAAACTTTCTCCATCCCAGATCTCCCATCTCC